GAGCAGGCCCTGTCACATATGCTGCAATCTCTGATGACCCAGTGCAAGCTGTCTAATCGTGAAGCAATAAAAAGCAATTTGAGTGAACTGACAAACAAATCATACACAGCTTCTCCCCCTTCCCCATTTTCTCTCTTCTTCCTTTATGCTTTTCTCTTTGTTTACTGCATGTGTGGGCAATTTAGTGGTTATTTACCAAATAAAGTTATATCAGGTATGTAGAGCAGAATTACTGCAATTTTGCTACTGAGAGAACTCCTGTGGGTGTCTTCTACCAGATCTTTGTATATGACTTTTGCTCCAAAGGTGAGGTTTACAGTTCCCAGGTCAACAGCTAACTAGTTATTAGGGCTACATCAACTAACATGGTTTCAATTTATTCTGTTATTTCAGAGAATCTAAAAAAGGTGGAGCAGCTTCTTTTCAGGAAGAGGGAATGAAAGCGTAAATTTCAAGTAGAAGCAGAGATTGCAGTGTATACAGGTTTAAAATGGGATAGTCATTGCATCATCATCTTGCAAGAATTTCTGAGAACAGCTGAATAACAACAGAACTGTCACTTGGTTTTTGCTTTAATGAAGTCTTAAGAAAACAGAGACTTGACTTTTTGTTGTGCTGCAATCACAATAATGGTTGGTGCCTCCCAACCTTATGGATATTCATAGTTTCTAAAAGAGTAACCTAAAGACTCTCTTAGCAAAGAAAACAGTAATCTTGGCCATCATCTTGATGGAGGCTAGAGCAGACTTTTGTTCCTTTGCTTTAAGAGGAGATGGAACATAAATAAAAAAGAAAAAAAAAACAACAACACAGAAGTTGGTTTATATCTCAGAAGATTTCAAATTGGACATAATTTTTTTGCTTAAAATAGATTAATAATAAAAGATTCCTAGATTCCGTAGATAAAAACGGAGACAGGAAGGTATGTCATTGGTTTATGAGTATCAACAGACAGATGAAACATTTTAATCCTCTTCTTTTGCATTCATGATGATCAGCTTCTCAGTGTGATTTATGATGCCAAGAATCCAGACCATTCTGTCTTAGGTAAGGACCACCTTCTCCTTTTCAAGTCACTCACTGCAACTGCTATCATCAACAGGAAGTTTTGGCATGTAGTTAGGTTAATAGTTGAATTTGTTACTTCATGAAATAACAAAAAGTTGCTAGAAATGTGAAGAATTCATATGTAAGCAGTCAGAAAATGAACCTTATTGTCACTTCATTTGTAGTTGTTCCTTTTTGAGTTCTCTGAGACTGATCTTCTAGAGTCTGAAAAGCAACTAATGGTTTTGAGTGCTTTAACAGAGCATTGGCAGAACAGGAAGAGTTTGGAGGATATACACATTTCCAGCACAACAAATGGGATATACACATTCCCAGTACAACAAATTCTTCAGCCCTTTTTGTTGTCATAAATGTTGAGTCACTTGAATTCAGGCAGCAAAGTTTGTCTAGATTTGTATCCATGAAACAGTGACATTTGGTGCAGCCTGGAGACTATTTAGCTTCCTTTCACCTGAAGTCATTTTAGCTCTTGGACTCCATTTAATTGCAGCATTGTTTAGAGTTACAAGGATTTGTCATAACTCTCTGCTCTTGCCTTTGGAATAAGATAGGTTGTTATGAGTTATGCAGGAAAAAAAGTCTGTCACTCCACCTACATAGGACAATTTCTGGATATATGCAGATTACCCCATCAAATTACTCAGATTCCTGCTACGCTGTGATGGGTTACTTCATTTGCTGCAATCTATAATTATGAAATGAAAGGGTCAAGATATGTTAGCTTTGACTTTTTTCTTTCCTGACTATTTTGACTTTGAGTTAGTCATTTAGGGCTTCTTAGTATACTGTATTAAGACTGTCTGTGGGAGTGTCTGTTCTCATTAGCTATTTCATCCTATACTGAATCTCCATTACACTAATAATAATAGATATCTTTTTTTTACACTCGCATAGTGTTTTCAGAGCAGTGCAAAATACTGAATGGACCTCATACCACTTTAATTTGTCAGCCCTGGCTATTGAGCTCCCTCACAGTTATCACAGATATTTTTACTTTTGCGTAAAGGAGAATAGCAGAAATATCTATTCAGTTGGGAAATGATGATGTTTTAAAATGGTGGTGACTGTAAACTGCTTTTCTGGAGCTACATATTAAATATCTATTGTTAAGAAATAAATGAAATTCTGCAGTGTTTTTCAGGATAGAAGAAGTCGAGTAGAGTGCTATCTACCTTTCAAAAATAAATTTTGGGGACAAAATATTAATAAAATCAGAGTCAATTTTTCATATATTAGTAACTGACCTCTTCAGAAATGGCTGAATAGAGAATTCCCAATAATTTCAGAGTGTCATGTTTCCCATTGTTGTAAACGTATTTTACAATAATCTGTGATCATGGTAGTAAAAGTTATTGCTTGCCAATAACTATGTACCAGCTCCCTAATATTGGAGAATATTTGATACAATTGCCTATGGTTACTAATATTTCTCCCTTCAAGCAGTATTACTCAACATTGACAAACACATCATAATCAACCTGTATGTCTTTCAAAACATGTAGTTAATAAAGATACATTTGTATTCAAACATGATTGTGTGTTCTAGGCTGGATGGATACACTGCTTACATATAGCACAGCTGTCTGTGCATGCATATATATAGTTAGTAGGACGATGAAGAAGGGAAGAGTTTCTCATTTGATTAAACAAGGAGACTGTGTTGATTCTGCATCATAAAAAGAAGACTATTAATGTCTACGACAACTTCTTTTTGCTTTTTTGAGGTCTCACAACTGACATCTCCCTTTCCTCAGCTGAAGTTGCTCCTCAAAGTTAAACCCCCTCCCTGCCTTTTGTTCCCATGGGTATTTCTGTTAGTGTAGAATGACTGTAAAATGGAGTGAAAATCTAAATCTCACCATAGCTGGAAAAGTGAGGCCAAGATTTTCTGAAGCAAAAGAAAGTAAATCTTGGTTCTCATGAGTTAAACTGATGTTCACCAAAAATATCACAAATAATTAGTGTAGCAAGCGACTACTAAATTGAAATTAGGCCTAATAGTGATTTTTGGTACACTCTGTTTCTTCAGTACATAAGCTACACCTCTGATGAATGCAGAGTTTGCCTGCGCTTTTTCATAAAAAAATGAATTTATAACATAAATTATATTTTTATCGGTTTAATTTTTAAATTATTTATGATTGTGATCGTCTGCACTTGATCTGCAGTAATCTTTGCTCAAGTAAAAAATAAAGGATTTGGTTTTTTGTATTGTTTTTTCTTTTTACAGGGACCTTTCCATGTAATAATCTACTGCTCTCAAATTGCCAATGTCCAGTAATCAGTCAAGATATTGCTTGGACTAAAGACATAAACAATACTATAGATTCAATTATATATCAAAAATGATTTAGTGGATTAGCTGGTTTTTTACATACTTTGGCTGCAATGCAGTGTAGTCTGTTACTACATATTTCATAAACCTCTAACTCTTTAAATTAATTTCACCTAGACTGAATAGAAACCAGAGTTTTCCATTTATAGAAAAGTCTGCTGCTTTGAAATGTATGCGTCCAATGGAAAATCAGCAGTATATACATTTATCTGAGAGCAAAGCAATGATAGAATGATGGTTTAATATAAACTGAAATATTTGTTTTCTTTTAACAGCTTAGATGTTTTTCAGAAGAGCTAAAAAATAAAAGTGGCTCAATTTCAGTAAAGGAGAACTGAATGTAACTTTTAAAAAAGCTTAAAAAATGTATACAGAGATAAAATAGTGGTAGCACATACACCAGCTTTTTTAGGAGCAATACAAATATAAGAATTTTCATATGAATAATCATATTGTTCCGATCTATAACGAAATGTATTTTCCTTATGAAAAAGTTTTTCTAATAGTATGCCTGTAAGATGAAAGTGATTTCACAGTAGATGTGCTATTAAATTTATGGCATTCACAACTTTTTATTTAATAACACAGTAGCAGAAAAATGATGCATCAGAGCTAATTATTTTCCATTATATATTTTAAGGTATGTTGTGATTTCCTGCCTTACATTGGGCCCTCAGTGTAAATAGAAGTAACCCAGGAACCCTTCAACTTACACAGTTTGTTTTCCAGAGGATATCTGATAATTTTCAATGTCTCAATTTTTTATCCTGTCCATCTCTCTATTGCCATCATATAGTGCTGCACCTCCTGTATATTCATAAGCCTGTGCATAACTGTGAATTTTACTGTATCAATGTAGAAAATGCAGACTGATATTGATAATAGGTTATTTATACAGTGCTGAACAAAATCCCCCAAACAAAATGTGAAGTATGTTCATTTCTACATGACAGAGAATGGTGGTATTTCCATTTTAACCCTTGTTTTAAAACTGATGGTCAAGCACTTGCAGACGACAACAACATATTTTCTGACAAACCCGTGGTCTTTCTAAATCCTACACAATAGAGAAACTATGTGGTGTATCTAAGGTTTGCTTAGATTTAAAAGGTAAGTTCCTTATGAAAATAGGATTGATACTAAAAGTAAATTAATTTTACCAAATGTTGGAAATACAAAAATTAGGTGACTGGTGCAAAATAACTTAGGAAGAAACACATCTGGATGAGTGTTTTATTTAATTTATCAGGCACAGCCATCTTAAAATGAAATGAGTCATTCACTGACATGGCCCTCTCTCTCCACACACACTACAGGGAAAGATAAGCTTCGATTTGAGAGTTAGCCCTAGGTGGATAAAACAAGTAGAGATAAAATCCACATACAGAAGTTTAAGGTTTTTTGCTTCTTCTGCTCAGAAATTCATTCTTCAGATTTTAGGAAGTAAGCAGATATCAAGAAGAATAGAACCAGAAAGAAGGAGGAATAACTGAGCACCACACTCTTCCTAGTCACAATTCCTGGTTACCTTGTTGATTTAGCCTCCTTTTGCATGCTGGTAAGCAATCAAATGAAAGCTCAAAATGCTTTACCATACCTGATTGTGGACTTTGTTTGGGGATTTTGGCTGCTGCTTCGGGGTTGGAGGTGGCACGCACACGCTGATTGGCAGAATTGTGGATGCTACTTGGGACAGCTGCTGAGATGTTTTTACGAGGTTTCATGTCTTGCAACCACATTGGGGATGCCTCAAAGGCTTGCATTCGTCGAGAGTGGCTATTAGCATTGACCTTGAGAAATGCCTGGGCTTTGTATTCCTGAAGGTCTCCATAGTTGGCATCGGTCACCCTGCACTCATACAAGCCTTCATCCTTTTTCCTCACTTTTGAAATCTGCAGCTTGTGGGAGATGTCATTCCCTTGTACTTTCACTGTCTGCAAATTTGCCAGGAAAAGAAAACAAAGAAACAAATATGTTGTCAGGAATTTTTCTTTCTCTGCAAACTCTACTGACTCTACTGTCATAGTGCCAAATTAATCAATGGTGTGATTGTGCTTTCTGCAGGGAGGTTACATCAAGGATGTGTATGGCTAATTGTGTCTATGAAGATGCCTGACATTTTCTTTCCAAATCTGCTTAGATGGTTTCCTCTGAAATATAATTAGCCTCAGACAAATAACCAAAACTACCATGCTCATTTCAATTAATTGCTTAAGATTATGAATATGCTTAATGAGCTTTCTTACGTAAACCTGGTATCTGTGCACTTCCCTGGTTAAACCTTTCCAGTTAGTTGACTTAATTGAATAATTCAGTTTTTGAACTAGTGCATTAACAATTTTGCTGGAGCTGTTTTCCAAGATTTAAACCACATTAATAAGATTAGTACATATTCAAGATCGATTTAAGAGTTGTCAGCTGAAAAAAGACTTCTGTTTTATTTTTTATTGGTTTTAATATTTGAAGGCAACATAACATATTTTTGTTTCAGATAATTAAAACACATGAGTAAGTTATACATTCAGAAATATGTGATAGGTATTAAGATGCATTGGGAAAAGTTAACACAGGTTCCTTTTTGTATATTCATCACTTTAGAGAATTTATATTTCATTAATGTTCTCTTACTCTCTATCTGAATTAATACCTGTTTCCCTACCAGAAGCCAGTTAAAACATGTTCAGTGGTCTCTAAAACTTCAGCTTTGAAGAACTTCTGAACCTGGTTTACTTTCACTGTTACATAAACATGGACGTAAAGGTTGCTTTGTGTCTTATCAATAACAGGCGATAAGGAAACATCAGGATGATGAATTCATGGTAGTTAACAAAAGTGGAGAACTGTTAGATTGAAGTTAGTACATGGTATTGGTGATTGTAGAAAACATTGTTTCTGATAGCTTGGCATACTGTAGTCACCAGTGCTGGCAAAGCACCTATTCTGCCTGCTTGATAAATTGAAGAGCAACACTTGTGAATATGTTATTGCTTTAAGGTGCTGGATGGACTTTATAGTCTGTTGTGTTGTACCCAGCTCTGAATTTATACTTGGCAAACTGAGTTGAAAGTATGGATTGCACACTTACAAGCATAATATGTCTGATATTAATTACACATAAAGTGCTGGATAGTTATTTAAACCATATTCAATAATAATAAATCTCTACTGAACAGTTCATGTTCAGGAAAAGTATTAAAGAAGTTTCATATGAATGGAAAGAGGATGCATAGGTCATATTTTACCTTCATTTGCTTCCATACAATAGCCACAAAGTTAACAGTGTTGCATAGCACTGGCGAAAAACAGGATTAGTTTTGGCTTTTGCATTTGAAATTTAGAAATTGTTGCTGGCAGCACGTATGCATGTTTTCAATTTGTCCCTGATAATCATTTAAAACTGATAAAGAGGTGTATTTTAGCAAACATTCAGTATATTTTAGCATTTTGTTAAAGATTACTAAATGCACTTAAAACTTTTTTTCTTCTTTTCATGATGATAATTTACAGTAATACTCATGGAGACTGAGTATGTCTTCAGAAAAAAAAGAAAAAACAACTACATTTGTAAAAAGTGATTTTAGACATCTATGAAACATTGACTTTCTTTTTATTACAAATGTAAAATAAATGTTTTATGCAAGCTTATAGAAACACTATAAATACCCCATTATGAATTATTATCATAAACAATGAAAGAGATTTGTTACTTCAGAGATGAGACAAGCTTTAAAGCCTATATTGTGTTTCAGTTCTTATGGATTACTACAGAGATTTTAAAGGAGACAGTATTGATAGGTAATGAATTGTCTGCTAGGCCCATGTCTAGTGGAGTAGTATCCAAAGACTACATGTGGACCTCATTTGTAAGACAGTCTACAAATGTAACTGAATATACAGTCCATGACACAAATTTTTTATAGTGTATGGTGAGAAGTATCATAGGAAATGTAAGTATGGCTAGAATAAGTATTGTTTTGAACATAGTGTATCTCAATTCTCATTTATAAATGCCCTTCAGCTATACCTTGCTGCACTTTGACCTGATGTAATTATTTGGTTAGTTATTTGTAGGCATCAAAAGCAGCAGAGTAAAAGATTTAACAGAAATTATTTACCTCTATTTGTTGCTGTTTTAAGTCTTGCTGGTACTTACAGCCTTGGCTGTAGCTATAAGGCACTTCCAAAGGGATTTTGCCGGAGAAAGAGAAAACCCCTCTGGCCTCATAGAGAACACTCATGCTGCAGTATCTGCTAAGTATCTGTGTTTTTCCACTGCAGTGAGCACCACACCATGACTCCACCACTATACATTTCTTGGGATGCTGAGGAAGGAGGGTCTGAACTATTCTGAGGTCAGAAACAGCCCTGTGGCTGTGCCTGACTCAGGATATGGGTCTGCTGAGGAAGAGATCCTTTCCCTGGACAAGGGCTGGAGCAACGCTACTCATAATTCTGTTGAGACAACATTCTGGTTTAATCTCCAAACAGCAGACTGGTAACTCTGATGTCAGAATCTTACTTTCTTAGAGTCTCAGGGACCAAGAGTGGAAATTACTCCCAAGAGGGAGGTCTTGACCAAAGTCTTTCTGAGCTTTCTTTCTGCCAGAGGGCATGGCCCTGGGAAAGCACCCGTTTAAACAGCTGTACAGCCCACTAAAGGAAGTGGAGCTTCACAGACAAATTTCAGCCTTAGAACCAGCTTTGGAGTGCTAAGGTAGGCTCAGCAGTTACCCAGGGTAAATGAAAACAAGAGGTACAAGGAAGGATTGGTGCACTGCTTCACAGAGTACAGAGTCTGTCAATGGTCTACTGACTGTGCCATGTTGGCCAATGCCTCCATGCCCAGGAGTGTGGGGGGCCGCATGGGGCGGGGATGCCCTGGCACCTTGCCTGGGCCGGCAAGGAAGAAGTCATAGAATCACAGAATCAATTATTTAGGTTGGAAAAGACCTCTAAGATCGCCGAGTCAACCGTTGAGCTGCAGACTGCCAGCCTCCTGCAGCCTGCGGTGCGAATGGGGAGGAGATGCGGGGCAGGAACAGACTCGGCCCTCCGAGGGATGGGCTCTGACTGGGGAAGGGACCCCGGTCAGCGGCGCGGGGGGCTGCCCGCACCCTGCGGCGACACTTACGCTGATCTTCGTGCCGTCGCTGTCCAGGTCCCGCTCGGGCAGGAGCTCCACCTGCAGGGAAAGGAGCGCCTCCGTGGGTCTCCGGCCCCCGCCCCGCTCCGCGCCCCGCTCCGCGCCCCTCTCCCAACCCGCCGCGGAGCCCGTGCAGCGGCGCGCCGCGCCTGCCACCTGCGGGCCGCGCCGGGCACAGCCCGGGACAGCGGGGACAGCCGGGACAACCGGGATGCGTGGCCGAGGGGCGCTGCCCCGCGGACCCACCTCCCTCCCGGCTGGCGTGGGAGTCTTTCCGGGGCAGCTGAACGCCGAGAGCGGTGAGGAGCGGGCAGCGAAGGCGAAGGCGGGGAAGAGCGCCCCAGATGGCAGTGTAAGTGGATATGGCCCCTCCTGTCCCGCTCGGAAGGATGAAATTGCACAGTTGTGTTATTTTGGGGGTTTTGCTTCTTCTGGGCCATTTGTTCCCTCCTGCTTTCCCCACCCCTGCCAAACGTGTGCCCTCCTGTGGCAGCTACCTACGGCTGCCAACTCGACTGTGCTAGCTGTAAATTGGAGGGCATGTGTAGGATCTTGCCACTTGGGAAATAAAAAATTCCCACAAGGAGAAGTCTTTGAACAGCTGCTTTCCAAAGAGAAAATCTAAGAGAGGGGAAAAAAAAAAAAGAAACAGAGGGAAAAATAATAAAAAAATTAGACTTTGAAAAATCTACGTGGTTTTGTGAGCATCCCTAGCTACATTCAGGGAGCGACAGGCACCAAAGGCACCATCCCTTGAGGTGGATATTTTTGTCTGCAGGTTCCTGCATTGTTATTTCATGGTCAAAACTAAGTCCCTGGAGAGATACAGAACCTCTTTTTGGTCCTTCCTTCTGACCTCCCTTTCTTTCCTTCCCCCCTTTCCTCTCTTCTGTGGCATTCTCCAGGTGGTTTGAGGAATCCATGGCAGAGGATTAGTACCTGAGTGCCTGTCACCTCAGCTCCAGCCTCTTGGTCCTCAGCTGCCCGCAGAAACCACCACTGGATTTCGAGGTACACTGAAGTGGAGCCACTTTGGAAAGCACAAGACATCTCCACGTTCTGCCCTTCTGTGGCTGTGACATTTCGGGGAAACTCTGTGAATTTTGCTGCAAAACAAATGCATAATACGTTGGGATCTCTTGCTACCTACTGATTGTTTATGCTCTGCTTTTTATGTTGCCTTTTTTATTATTTCTGCTTCCCCTTCTCTTTTTAATGTCACTGTTTATTTTTCTCATTCTCCCTCTTTTCTGCTTCTTTTATTTTTTTTTCCAGTTTTCCACACATTATCTTTCCTGGTTTCTCTCACACCTAGATATGTTTTTACTCCCTTAGGCACAAATCCATTCTCTTACACTCTCAGTTCTGCTCACAGGAAATGCTCTAGACCCCCCTGCTTGCACCCATGGGCTAGTGAAGTTTCACATAATTAGGTCCAAATACCCTTGGGCAGAATGCAGTATTTCACCAGATTCACTGAGGGATTTTGTGCAAGACCAATTTAAGAGAGAAACAATAATTCGGATTTTGTATTTTGGAGGGCTGAGCTGGAAACCTGTAAGTTGTTAAACCTTCTGCAGCCAGCTGAAGCAGCTGTTGGCAGGGGCAACTCTGGACACTCTTCTGAGTGCATGTTACAATCACTCATCAAATGTCCATTTTGAAGGCTTTGTCTGAATTAGTTACTGTTTCTGAGAACCTCTGCTTGCAAGGTTATGTATAAATAAACCAAAAATCAATTCATCTTCTGTTTCTCTGTCCTTAGCAGACACTTTCTAGAATTAACCTTCACATTTGTATCCCAGCCCTTTAGCAAACCGAATCTGCCCATTTCAGTGTACCACTACTAGGTTTAAAAGCTAATCCTAATAGAAGTAGTCCAGGGCATCATTAATTGTTTAAGTCTCAGTCTTTACTTCCTTCTCATCCTTTCCTATAACTCACTTTAAAATTGTACAACATAATGAGTCATGATAGTCAAGTGAGGGGGACTACAGACAAACAATGTAATAAATACATACTGTGTTTTAAGAAGAGGAAATTTGGAAAGACACTGCAATGTCGCTTTCTGTTATGCATTGTTAACAGATTGACTAGAGCATATTATGATGTGAAGGAAACGCGATGTGAAGGAAATATTGCTCTTTGTCTCCTCCCCTCTTCCTCTCTATCCAATCTTCCTAGCCAACCTGGAATTGGTGGGATAATTTGGTAACCAGTGTTACTTCTCCTTCGCCTTTTATTTGTGCCTGGGAACACATACTTTCAAAGCTGCTATCTTCATATTTCACAGTGTCCCCTTTTCTGGCTCCCACCCCCACCAGTCAGCGATTGCTAGTCACCGAGTTAAGCTGCCAAATGGACTGTGCATTATGCGTGTCCGGGGCTAGTAAGTTTGTTTTGGGGCGATTTTTTCTTGTTTGTTTGTTTGTTTGTTTGTTCTGTCCCCCTCCTGCTCAGTGCGCGTGAGCGGTGTGGGGGCACACGGAGGGGAATACAGACGCCATCCTCCCCGGTCGCACCGCCAAGCGCAAAGCCGGCGGGGAGCTGCCGGCAGGGAAAGGCGGGCAGGGAGCAAGGGACGGCGGGCTGGGGGCGGTAGGAGCGGGCATGAGACTGAGGCACCGGGCGAGTCAGCGGGCAGCGGGCGCAGGGGGCGGCCGGGAGCGATCTGTCCATGGTGCTGACAGCGTCGCCGCAGCCTCGGGGTCCCGAACAACCGGCTCCTGCAGCGGCGGGGCTGCTTGAAATGCAAGGCGCGCCTTTCGGTGGAGAGGGAGGGAGGAAGGCGGCGGGGGTGGGGGGAGGTATTCAAAGAAGTCGATTTTGTCTTTTTCTCCCATTTTTGATGGGGGTGGGGAATGGTAGAAATACACAGTCACAGAATCGAAATGAAGGTCTGACTCCGAGGGTTGCAGGATAATAAGAGAGGAAAGAGAACACAGCACGAAAGGAGACTGCAACATCTTAAGGGAAGCAGTAGATTTAGCCATCCAGTATTTGGTCTAAATGCAATAATTATGCATGCACTGGGAGGTGTTTCTTGTACGCATACATGCCTATATACAAGCGGTCAGAACTCAAACACATGAATGTCCATTCCCCAAAACCCCTTTACTCTTCTGCAAGATGCCTGTTATTTCCCTCTTTGCAGTCAAGTAAAGGAAGCCTGTTATATTTCTACTTTGTGGAACTTCTCACTTCTTTTCCTCTTTACAGACAAGTTTTTGAACTAAATGTAAACCTGATTCTTGTTGTCCTCATCTCTTATCCACTTTAGTTTCTTTTTTCTTCTTTCACCTTTCTTCCTTTATTTTCTCTTCCCTCCCCCCCCCCCCCCCCCCATCCGGTTCTCAGACTATTTTAGCATAGAAAACCACACACACGTATTTGACAATAAGGGATCTTACCTTGGGTAGAAAATCCTTGCTGAATATACATAACTGAAAAGAAAATGAATCCAACATAAGCCAGAAAAATCCCCATCATTCCAAGATGAAGAAGTCACATCAGGGTAAAAAAAAAAAACAAAGGTGCCCTCAAAAAAAAGAAAGAACTGATGTATGAGTGTATGTACGTATCTCTAAATGTATGAACAAAAAGAAATTTCTAATGTTACAAAAAGGCTCTGTATTGTAACCCTAACTGCGACACTGGCAGCATTCTGCTACTCGATGGAGTCTTTTTCCTTGAGAAGAGCGAGTATTGCAACACAGTGTGGTTCAGATGAGCTGTCTCAGGCGCTGTGTTGCTTGAAGTCCAGACTCAGACTAAAAAAACACAAACCGTTGAAAAGTGGGTATATCAGCTGCTTTCTGCGCCTTTTTTCAGCTACCTGGCAGCTTCGCCCAGCGTCAGCTCTTGCTGCTCAGGATGTCGTGATGACTGCCCTCCCTACACACTGATCCAGTTTGGGAAGAGAGGAGTAGGGGAAAGAAAGGGGGGGGGGGGGGGGGGGGGGGAGGGGAGGAAAGAGAAGTCTACCGTGCTTGCATTGCTTCAACTTTTCCCTCTAATGGCTGCGATAATGTCTTTAACCCTTCCCTCTCCCTCCCCAGTCTCTACACCTCTCTACCTGTTCTGACTTCTGCTGGCTCTGATGCTGGGGTAAAGCTGCGGGGGTTTTGTCGCTTTTTTTTTTTTTTTTTCCCAATAGTGTACCGTTTATGATCGTAGAGAGAGAAGGGAGCCTTTACTGTACTGATGTAATCTTCGGTCTTACATCCCAAAACACTCAGTGGCTAAGAGGGCAATGCAGTGGTTTGATTTTTGGTGAGTTAAGCTGTTTCTGTTTTCTCCTTTTCCTCTCCCTTTTACAGGGTCTGAGGGGAAAATAGTTACTCGGTAATCCTATCGCACTCACTACTGCCTGCTCCAAATAACTATGCTTCTAGCAAATTATGCTAAAATGTTCTTCATTTTGTCTTCAAAGAGGAGGATACTTAGAGTGTGTTTAGGTGGCATTATACAGATTTCTGCAGAAAAAAAATATTTAGCTAGATAAAAATGGATTTTGATATGTTACAGATTATTCACAGTAATATGTATATATATTTATGTATACCAGAGAAGGTGTTTACAGCATATTAAAGAATGTTTCCTCCTGCAGTGTTTTCTTCCCTGTTTCCTGTTTTCTGCCTATGTATGTTAATACTGTTTAGACAAGAGAGTAACCTTGACTGTATTAGGTGATCAAAACACCTTGAAACACATCTGCACTGAGAGAAGTTCTCTGACTGAAGTCGTCCTGCTACTTGTAGTAAGAAGACATCTAGAAAGTGCTTGTTGCACGAAGCAATCACCAAATACCTTCTTAAGGCTGAGACATAGATTAAATAGGAACTGAAAAGAGCACCTGATAATCTCTCAGAGTGCCAAATAGCTGAATGTAACTGCTAATCACAAAGTGAAAAAAGCTACAAGCCATACCGAATTAAGAGAATTTTTTCTGCATGGGCAATATGCTTTTCTGCAACAGAACAAGTTCTATCATTCCTGGCAATAGAAGTGCAGCAGTTCCACAATGGTACAAGATGCAACTTTCACCTTACTCACTGCACCAGCCAAATTATTGTGTGCATACAAGACATCTGACATAGCTGCAGAGATCTCCTTCACAGGACTAATTCTAACTGACTGGAAAACAACCTTTTTGTCTACATTTTAATTTTTTTTTTTCTAATAATTGCATGAGTTTCCATCTTTATTTATGAAAATAAGGGATCCATTTCCCCATGGTAATAACCTATTCCTCTGTTGTCATATATAAAGCATAGCAATAATTCTGAGTCAAAAATTAGTAAAATAAATCAACTATCATAAATCAAATAGGAAAACAATTATGTTACCTGAAAGATTTCCTATTACCACGGAGTTTTAATTACTTCAAAGGAGGTCATGATAGATATATTCAAAACCAAAGAAAGCCTGTAAAACAAAAGGAAAGCACTAGTCTTTAAAGGTGGTGGACCTGAATTATCTGAAATAGCCAAGAATTGTCAGTGATTCAGGGATTAAACATACACTGCAAGGTCTTTATAGGTTCAGATGGTGAATGTTTCAATAATTTCTATAAAAGAAATCAGTTCCTTTTCAGATTGGTAGCCAAAATCCTAAGTCACTCCTGAAAATGAAGGCTGATTATAGGATTCACTTCAAACCCATGTACGTCATCAGTAATCAGTTGAAATTACAAATTAGAGACATAATATCACCAGTCAAGTTAAATGTAAATTAGACAGAAGGAAAAAGAATCTGAGCAGTATCTTCTGTTTTAGAGGGAAAGTAGAAAATAAAAGTAGATCACTTTTTTCTCTTTTATTTGCCTATTTCAATTCATGACACTTGATAGGTAAATTTAATTTTTTCAGTTTGTAATTTAGAAAGAAGAATATTTCTCCCAAATACCCTGTAGTCAATGGAACTAATTAAAATTGTATTGCTGTCACAAGGACATACAAAATTATGTATGTGGTTATTAATATATCAGAATTGAGGATGTATTAGGAAATAGATTTAATGGAAAGAATCTTAAAACTTGGTTACATAGTTATTATTTTTATTTTATTTATGTGCTGCAGCAAGCCATATGATTCTGTCAAATACTTTAAGTAGAAAGCAGAAATAACCCACCTCATGCTGTCAATGTTGAATTTCACCCTGATGGATGTGAATCCTCCATAATCAACCATTCTGTATTAATCTAGGCAGTGAATGAGTCTAGTTACTTAGTGTGAAATCTCTGCCTTTTGTGTTGTAGAAAGTTTTGATGTAGCCTAACTTAAGCATGCTTTATGACAGGAGTGATATGGTATATGTGAGCTTTCTGATGCATTTTTTCTCACTCTCAATGACTCTAATAGATGAGTCATCACTGGACATTCTCTCAGGTCATAGCCAGAACATTAATGCATGGGGGAATATTTTCAAATATGCCAATGAAATGTAATAATAATAGAAGACTCATTTATGATGCTGTGGAGCTGAATTATGTAGATCTCCTTGTATCTTACTACTACTTCAGTACATGTTCCAGATCAAATGCTCCTTCAAAATCTTAAATGCCCATGCATGTTCACCATTCTGCCCAGCTTGCAGATCCTGGATCTATGCATCTGTTTTAACTATTAAGGAAAAATGTTTATGGAGATTATGATTCCAAGTTCAATAAAGGTTAGAAATGAAAGCTATTGTGCTGCTAGTCAGCAATAAGGTTGGAGTGCTTTGGTCCCATAAAGCCATGGACCAGTATGGGCTGCCTAGCCCTGCAAGAAGCTGATCAGCTGATGACTGAAACAATGGCTGAGTGTTGCCATCCAACAAGCTCAGTTAAAAATTAAAACAAAAAAGTTACTTTAATATTTTGACTGATATTTTCAGCTTTCTTTTTGGTGATTATTTCAAATATTTCTTTACTATTAAAAGGGAAAATTTGTATTGTCTGATGAAACTTGTAATTTTTAGAAGTTAAAAAGGAGGTTGATTCTCTTTATTGAGGATTGCTCTTTGGTTTTGTTACCCAAGTGTTCATTTGAACCTCTCTCAGGATGTCACTGTTGCCTCTTGCAACTCCCCTTGCAATTAGAATCTGGGGAAACAGAAGAAAAACAAGAAAAAAGAAAGATTTGACAAGGAGATGAGGCACCAGCGAAGGGGTTGAAAGTTAGAAAATGTCAAAATGAAGTTTGTCCATCAGCTTAATTCATTCCTTTCATTTACAAGCAATTATGATGCATTTTAGGTGAATCTCTCTTAATCTTGACTTTGGTTCATGCTTCACCGAGCAGTCAAAATTCTCCTAGTATAAGAATGGCTTCTTGCTCAGGCCCAGAAAATAAAGGATACTGTAGTACTTATGCTTTACAAGTATTGAAAGAGAATGGATGCCTTCATCTCAGGGCAACTAAGTTCTGGCTTGGAGAAGCAGAACCTCTCTCTGACTGCCAGAGGTCCTGGGGGATGCTCCACAGTCCCTTACATCACAGAGGCTCCATTAGAGTGTGCTTCTCATTTCTGAATACCTGCCTCAGAATCCTGATGGTTGAGATGAAGAAGCACTGAGCAGTCACAACTGCAATTAAAGTGAACGGGTGCTGTGATTGAAGGTGCAGATTATTGTAAAATGTGACAAAACCCCACAATCTGGACCCTGGGTATCTTAGCATTGATCATTGTCTATGTCTCTGTTGTCTGTCTGTAAAGTGGAATATATTACTGTGTCACTTCAGAGAGGTCTTGTTAAGACAAATTAACTTTCAGGAAGCTCTCAAAGATTTGCATGATGAGCATCATAGGGAATCCCAGAAGAAAATGCATAATTCTGCCTTCAGCTCAAGATTTGAGTGGTGTGTGTGGGTGAGGCCTAGGACACACACTGGACAATCAAAATAAACAAAATATCAAAGACCTGCTGATTAATTGAATTCCATTCTTTGCATACTCTTAATGAGGTGGGCTAAGATCTAGAAAAAATCCCTATGTCATGGTGCATTTAAAGACTACATGGTTTTACGTATGAAGGGAGGCAGTTTAAGACTTGCTTTGCTGTCTTTGAGTACTTGATTTTGCAACTTTAAAAATGTTCTTTCAGTACAGCTTTTTACTTACAGCAGAACATTTTATGACTCTACCATTGTCTCTCTCTACCATTAGGTAGCTGGGAGAAAAGGCCACAGAACCTTAAAATGAGACTTTAGGCATCAATCCAAATGCTTTTTCCTAGTTTTCTCTTTGCTTTTAATAGAGAAAAAAAAAAAAAGCTGTTTTAAGCACAGTCTGTACCCTAGGTTTATGGAAAACAGGCAAAGCTAAACATACCATGCAAAAAACCTTGATAGTGCATTACTTTTCTTACGAACCTCCTCCTTTTTCTTGTCCTTTTTTTTTTTTCCCAGTTGGTTCATAGCCAGAATAATGTAGAAGTATCTTTATAGTATGATGAATTCATTCTGATTTAAGTAAGTTTTTAAAAACAGCAGTTCCTTAGTTCCTTAGTATCATGTGATCAGATCTTTTTAGCAGATCAAACAAAAAAATTAGATGTAGAAATGCTATTGTAGGATTTTATACTGCCTGAATTATGAGTATTGACTGCAGCTTTTCTGAATTCAGTCTTCACTGAAATCCCAGTTTGATTTCCCCTTTTTTCCTCTTGGTATCCTTGAGAGTGTTATACCCAAATACAACAATAGCTGAGGTGGTTTCTTGGAAGAAAGGCATACTGGAGGTCAGATAGTGACTGGGCTGTTTTCTCCGTGTTATTCAGTGTGCTGTTACTGAGGGGCGTGCTCACCATGTTCAAAAGAATGGGGAAGACTGGAGACAACTGTCAAACTGGTCAGACAGAAAACTTCATTCCTTTCTTTGAAGGCAAATAATACTCTGTCCGTGAAAGAAATACTTTTTTTTTTTTAATGTGGAGTTGGCCCCCAAATTTACTTGATTCCTTAAGATTTGTCAGTTTGGTGAAGGAAAAGTGTTCTCACAGTGCTAAAAAAGCAGACTTAATTATCTTAAAGGAGTAACAACAGGATACTTCCTGGTGAATTAGTATTTTTTCACTTAGTTTCTCCTTTTTCCCTGTCTTCACTAGAACAGGCATTTTGGGAGTAACTGCACACTGAAATAGCAGC